CAAATGGAGATTGCTTTTTCTCATTCTTCAATGATTGCTTCTTAGGTGAAAATAAATCAGTTCACTCAATTATTTTGATATAATTCTTTCATAAGAAAGTTACGAGTCTTCAAAGACATTTCTTTAAATGGGTACCACTTTTTACGTTTTAAGATATTTCAATATACAGGAGTTTCAGTTGTAGTCAAATATAAATAAAGCTTATTTTCTACCTATAAAACATATAAGAGAACGTTAAGAACTCAATAAATAGAGTCTCATTTATTGTTTTACTTTAATGGTATATATTTTAAAAAGACATAGGTCTTTTTGGAACACTACTTTTTTTATTCTAAAAAAGATATAGGTACTTCTTGTATGTCAAGAAATGGCGTAGTTTTTGAGAAAAAGAATTTCAGTTTTGTACTGCATTGAACAGTTACGGACTGACATATTTGGGAGTATTCTAGTATTGTAAATTTCTGGTTTTTGCAAAATTAATAATAAAATTTGTTAATTTTTACAATTTAGATCAATTTAGCGCTAGTCGAAACGCAATAGTATAGCCCTGTGCTTGTAATTACGCATTGCTACTTCATTAACTGGGCAAATCATATTTTAATAGAATTTGACCTTTTAATAGAGGTAAGTTGCCCTTAGTTGTACAAAATATTTAATGTAGTTATAAATTTAGTAAAAAAAAAAATATTCTAAAAAGCATCTGCAGTTTCTCAAAATCTCTGACAACAAAAAAATATAATAAAAAACATAAAGATGGTTAAGATGTTATTAGCGACTTGTATACGTTTTAGGTAAAAAAATAAACTTGTATTCATATTTTGACACCAAAAACTCTTTTACATATATCAAGTTTCATTTAAATATCTTTGAAATGAAGAAATTATTGTAAAAATATTAAACAAAATAAATTTATTTGGTGGCTTGCAACCTTCTAAGACTAGAAATTATTCCACGGAAACTTAACTAAATCAGTTTATTTTCACCCAACAGAGGCTACCTTTGAAGTATGTCCCATTCTTTACTAACCACCCTGTATTTAGTATTTACGTACAGTGTAGGTTAAATTCAATTTCGATGTATTTCTATGCTGACAAAGTTTTGCGTTGCAGTTAAACTAACAATGTCCATTAATTGGAAACATACCAAATTATTTTTAACTTTTTTAAAATATATATTTTATTATTAGTTCTTGTACTTTAAAATATTAAGTTAATTCAAATAAATTCGAAAAAAATTGTTTTTGAAATGGCCTATTACCTTTACAATAAAGTTAGTATTTTCTGTTAAGGTTTTTTTTGTAGTGTTGCGTTGAAATATAATAAAATAAAAAATAATAGAATTATACCAAAATATGTTTTCAGTTTCAGTCTCTGGATCTTTGAAATTTAGGAAACCTTGACGATTATCTATTGGTAAATCCTGTGACTCATCATTTTTCTCGGATAACAATCGGGTAGATTATTATTCATTCCGAAAAATTCACCTGTTATATCACCCGCATTAATATAACACAATTCTTCTGGCATTTTGGGAGCGTTAACCCATTAGTCAGGGATCAGTCACTATTTAAATTTAGAAATTGTATCTTATACGTCGAGTTAAGTACAGTGCATAATAATACGGTTAGGCAAATAGATTTTTACATGACATAACTGCATACGGCTGATGAGTAGAGAGTAGCACCCCTGGAGGTATTGTGCAATACTATTTATAACTCTTATTAAATATAGTACTATTTACTGACCAACGTGAAGTAAACAAGTATAAAAAAACACATCTCTCACCAGGAAAACTAACGGACAGTTATCAGAAAAATTGTTCGTGACAAGATTTTGTTAGGGAAAGCAAACATTAAACCTAAATTTTTGAAATGAGGCCAGACGGGCTTTCTTTATAAATTTATTGATGGGATAGTAATGTGTGAAACGTCTAGACAGCTACCGATACCTTCTCTCAGTGATTTAAATAGGATATACGGGTAGTTAAACAAATATTAATATGTGAATAAATCTAGCAACTGTGACAGCAAAAAATTTGTCCTACTTTTCATTTTCAGATATATAACATTGTTATTTTTAAACATATCAATATGTGGCTCACTTAAAGACGTAAAAAATGTTTTATTCTGGATTTACTTTACAACTGAGGATAATTTCTAAAGAAATCTATGCAATTATTATTTATGAAACCTCATAGTTATGTTTTAAAATATGTTAGTGGTTAAAAAAATGTCGTTTAGAAAAATTCTTTTGACCTGCTCGGTACGCTACAAGGGTGTAAATCCAGAAACCCTTTTATGTAACAAAAAAGTCTGATCCAATCTAATAAATTGGGCTGCCTGTCACCAGTAATGGAACAAAGTAAAACGTTTTCTAAGACATAGGATCCTAAAATTTTCTTTTTTAACACCATAGCAGATGATGTTGAAGAAAGTAACTGACACTGAAGGATTATTTCAGTCATTATATCGTGTTGGAGAGAAGTTTGAAAGAGAATGTTTTTTCCGAAATGATATAGGTATTGTATATGCCATTTCCTCAAATACGTCGATATTGTAGCTTAAAAAGATACTTTTATGTACCTACCCCTATTCCACGTTGAATCGTTTCTCATTATGACATAATCCAAGTATTTCTTTAATAAAACTCTTTTTCGAACAAGACTATAAATTTAGCAACATATCATTATAATTCTTTATTTAACCGTCCAAATAACAATTAAAAAGTGATGACTTGTAAATTGTGATTTATCGCGATACAAAGTCCTTCATTTTCAAAACAATTTAACTTAACAAGTTTGGAAATGGATGACATGAACAGCCAAACAGTTAAATCATTCGTTGGTAGTTTCACCTGTGGAATACTGATGAGAACTAATAAGTGCGAAACCGGTATATGTCTTTTGATGCTACTGATAATTGATCTTAGATATTTACTAGATATTCGGGGCGTAATTCAATGTCTGACAGGGCATATAGCTCGCAGAGTAGTTGTTTCTCACCATATCCCTAGTTAAAAAAATGAACTAATTATTTAAATCGTCAAAAATATAACGATTCTTGTAGTAAGTAAACCTGTTGTACGTTTCTTGCTTTACATTGTCCAATATTCCAAGGCTTATTAAATTTAATTCACTAAGGATTATTAATTGTATCGACGTTAACCTACAAGCAAACAAACTTATTTCAGCAAATTATATATATTACGTCTTACAAAAATTTGATTGAAAGTTGTACGAATTTAATTAAAAAGAATCCGATGACATTATCTATGCGAAAAAGAAACAGAAATATTGACATTATTTAAAAAATATCACAATGACATCAAATCAAACCTCATACCAAAATTAAGACACCACTTAAAATAAACCTCAATTTCAAATTTGATTTTCTCGCGAACGGTTAATCTGATTCTGACGATCTTTTTTTGATGTACCGATTTACTCCGAGGTTTATTTCTTAGTAACGATGTTAAGATAGAAATTATCTCTGCTATTGATTAAAGCTAACCAGTTTATTGTTAAAAATTTAATAACAATAAAACGTTGTTGGCAGATAACTTACTCGCCTTCCTTTACAACATTGATACACAGAAAAAATTAATTATCAAGAAAAACAGTTTTCTTCTTCTTTAATTTTGTTACTGGCTTTGTTCTTTCTTGTCACTGATTTTTTTTTGTTGTTCTAAGTACACCTGTACAGTTTTACTGAAGTGAGTACATTCGAAATATCTATAGTATATAACCTGTGCAGGTAAATCTGAGAGGCCAATCGTAGTGTGTGTAGCAGGCTTAGTGTTTTAAATTTTTACAATAAACTCAGGCAGAGATAATAGCGATAATCAAAAACAAATGTTCAGAAACGATGGGATGGATTCAAGTAGGAAAAAACCTGTTCTGTCTGTCATCTCGTATATTCCGAAATCTCAATAACAGAAACATCGTTAATGGCCACATTGAAAGTGTACCTACATATTCAAATTTTTTCAAATACCCAACAAAATGTATATAAATAATTTTAATTGTTTTACGTAACTACGAACTAAGAATTAAGATAGGTTGGAAAAGGTTTAGATGTTTTTAAAAGGAAATGCCCTTAAAATGTACCTAGACAAGTTGTATATGCATATGTATAATTATAAATTAATTATTTTAGAACTGAATCATAAAAAAAGATATAATATGCTTGTTTTTAAACCTTCTAAAATTATTTCAGGTTTGTTTAAATATACCATTAAATCTTCATTTATAAAATTACAAAAGAGAAATAAATGTTTATTTGGTTATTCAGTCCATCTCTCTTTTAAGAATCTTTTCACTTTGAATCGATAGAAATTCATAAAATATTCAGATAGCAGCTAGGTTTTTATTGATCATTCGTAACTATGTACTACTAACATCTAAAAAACACTACTTCAACTAAATTGAAAGTTGATGATTAAATGAAATGGAATGGTTATAACTACTTTTTTTTAAGTCGCTTTAAAGAATGAAATAACATTTACCAAAGCCAGCGTGTTATCAATATTTTTGTTAAAGAAAAATATGCTCTTCCAATAAATTCTTAGTAAAAAGCTTGAAATGGTAAGTAATTCATAGAAAATATTAGTAATGGCGTAAAATCAGAATAATTAATAAGTTCGTTTTAGAGACCTATTTATTGACCGGCAAAGAACAAAAATAAAATCACTTTTTGTAAACATTTTTATATTCTACAGCATATAATCGTGATTTTTACATGCAAATTTGAATCCAAAACTGATGACACTAATGTATTTTAGCAATGGGTTGCGCATGTCAAATCAAAAAACACGATAGAAATAAACTTGTTCATTGTTGTCACAACAAATATCAAATGGCAACTAAATAGAAAATGACTCAATTCATTTAAGAAATATTCATGGAGTTACTAAAATTTGTAATTAACATGTCGGCATTTGCCAATAAAAACAATGCGTAGTAAGTAGCTGTCGATATCTGTAAAGATATGATCCGCTCCTTACCAGGATTCTCCCTGTCGTGGTCTGCCCTGAAATCAGCTCTCCTGCCCAGTCCTTGGCCTCCGTCATGAAAGTACCCTCGAATTCCTGCTTGTTCTGCCTCGCGGCCTTCTGCTCCTTCTGCTTGGGATCGTTGGGCCCGAGGTCCGCCTCCTTCCGGCAGCACAAGAAGGCGAAGAGCCTCCATATCAGGACGATGAGCAATCCCGCCAAGAAGGTGCAAATGGAGGAAAGCAGGAAACACCAATATTTTCGCTCAGCCAGGCACGGGTCCTCGCACTTCATACCGCGCTCCGCGCCCTCGTCGGTGGAGTCATCCACGGTCGATCGCTATCGCCGCTATTTGTCAACGGGGTGGTCGCATTAGGCAGCGCGACGACTACGACGTCCTGAAAACAACTGAGTGTTCCGCCGATGCCTGTAGCACGCTCACTCGCGAACCCAGCAGAGCGCTGTTGTCGCGAGCCCGTGAAAATGTCCCGGTTTGGGGAATAGTTTTCTAATCGATTACTATAATGCTATAGACTATTATTTTCCAATTATATAAGTAATAGATAGATACAGATATTGTATTTGTAATGTAAGATGTTAGAAGGGTAAAATATTTTTTCAAAAATAAATGTTAAGTATTAGTTGAGGGCATAATCAAGAATATTTGTTTTTGACTTCACCGAGGTTGGTGAAAGAATTTCAATAGTATGGGTTGAAAAAGAGGGTGATAATGTAGAGAAATAAAACAATCATTTATATTGTCTGTTAATATTTATTTGTGTCATTTTTAATTACTCTTTTTATTTAATTGAATACTCCTGTCATACTGAAAAGGAATAAGTCCCTTTCACCAAAAAGACCAGTTTAGGAGTTGATTTTATCAATTTAATTTTAAAAGTGAAACAGAATGTCTAAGACCTACAATGTGGTTAAAACTTGCAAAAAGCTCCCGTAGGCACAATGAAAGTATTAGCAGTGGTCGCCACCATGCGGATGAAAGCAAATTTTACATAATGATATTGAAGGAAACAACTACTCCACGGGCTATATACCTCGACTAGCACTTAATTACTCGCTAACTCAGCCGGGTTTGATCAGTTCATGGGGCCTCCTCCTGCCCTGACTGGGTCCCGCCGGCAAAGGCCCTTTCTTCTGGCTTTTTTTTTCTTCACCGGCTCGTCTGAGTAAACCTCCGGGGGTGTCGTGTCCAGTCAACCGCGACCCCAATGAATGATCTAACTACTTTGTTGATTAAATCCAGGAATAGATCAAGTAAAAGTAAAAGATGTAACCACCAAATGTAGCATTTGGTGATCACCGCCACTAAATGCCTAAGACCTACAAAGCGGCTAAAATTGTGAAAAAGCGCCCTTATTGTTGGTACTATGAAAGCATAACCAGTGTCGCCATTATGCGGACGATATGATATTGCAGAAAATAACTATCTATAGGCTAAATGCCCCGAGGAGCATTGAATTACATCAACAACTGTATTAAATACAGCTAGAATAATAATAATTTAATATGACAGTGCTGGTGTAATTCAATGATAGCGGTGTTGTAGAATAGTTGTTTCCTGCAATATCATTACTCCAAATTTAATTTTGACTAACCTTGAAAGAACTACACAACTGATTTTCGAAAAACTCTGTTTTCGTTATTAAGTTAGTTAGTATTTGTTCTGTTATCTATCTACAACAACTACCAAAGTTAAAGGAATTATTTGAAATGCATCATTTAGCAAAATAAACGCGAACCTTTTAATTTTGATAGTCCTTATCGTATTACTTTAATTTCTCAAAATTCTTGTGTTGTTCCATTGCATAATATGACCGCCTTGCATGTTTACAAATTCGAATTTTCAAATTCTCCCTTCCTATGAGTCCCAATGATCTCCGACCGCAACTTTAAAGAACTCGAAATTTTACCAACATAATGTTTAGTCCATTCACAAGGTATATTATAGAACAAGTTTATAATAAAATTGGAAAATATTATTAGGTGCCTACTATTAAACCTGTTACCAATTCCTTTTTAATTTTTCAGAAAAACCTTGGCTAAACGGTATTTTTACTGTTCGTTTTGAAAGTTTCTAGAAACATTAGCTTTGTAATTTGTTGCAGTAATTATTATTAGCGATCGTGAAGAATTATTTATTTTTTCAGTGCAATACCTATATATCTGGAAAAGGAAAACTAAATTTATAAAAATTAACCCACTGATTGACCCATTTGACACAAGGGGTTATTTATTTAACATTTGTCTTTTAAGTGTGAATTATACATGGTTCAAAATTTGTTAATACATTTTGAAATAACTTGATAAACATGTCATAAAACAATNGAAGATATATTTTTTTATACCTTACAAGTTTTTTTAAATTTAGATAATTCCTCATTGTTACTAATTTATTTATATTAGACATTTTGGTTTTCATTTCATGTTTTCACAGGTTTCATCAGTTATAAAAGTAAATGAATAAATTATATAATTCTGTATCATCAAACTGTCATTCACTGTATACTCAGTAATCCACAATAAAATTATCTCAGTAATTACATTAATATACGTTTTTAGATCTCATACAGAACTATAACGTTATCATTATACAAATAATTTTGTTTAATTTCATAATTTATGTGTTAAGAAAAGTTATCTAATGCAGACCGTATGCAATCTATTAAATTGAAGTCTGTAGAACTGAAATTTAAAAAAATTCTAAACAGGAATACAATAATTCAAATTTGAAAACAAATAAATTAAAAATTGTGGGATCTAATTGGTTCGAAATTATGCGATTTCAAGGTATCACCTCCTTTAAATTATCATAGTGAAAGGACATAGTTTTGGTGACCCAAGCTCTTTTCTAATTACTGCTAACGACATTACATACGATATGACAAAATATGCATCAAATTAAATGATTTCATAAACAAATTATTTTTCGATCACTTCCAATTTAACTGAAACAATTTTATAAATTTAAATAGCACATCATGTATAATTTTCGCCACATTTCTGTTCAAAATTACGTTTTAAACACCTGTGTTATTTCAGTTAAAATTTATTTCATCAAAACCTATTTTTTTTTATCTTCTTAATTGCCTATCACTTAATTTTACTTAAAAATTTACTAGAAAATTTTAGTTTTAACCAGGCACATATAATTTTTTTGTTTATGGTTACTTAAAGATTGGTTGTGATTTTTTAATATAACTTTTTTTTAACAAATGACAAATGTGGTTTGTAGTTCGTGTCAGTTAAACATAAATTTTGTTATGTATCTAGTTTATTTTTGAAACTGTCATTAAATAATGAACAAGAAAACAAAAATAGTAAATATTATGAGGTATACTAATTAAAAATAAAAAAAATGTTTTACGAAAAACGAAATATTTTATAATTTGTTTTTCAGAACTAATTGTTCTGCGGATTTGTTAAGTTCTGATGCTATGCCACTGTATCTAATATAATAAGTAAATTTTTGTTGAACGCGGTATATTTTGTGTTAGTTTTACATTACTGTAATATTACAATTTGAAATATTTTATTCCAAAAGGAATTTTGATATTTGTGAAGTTTTCTGCCCTTCAAGGCAAAGCAACGTATATATAGTATACATATATATGTAAGTAAGCGGATGTAAATTGAGAAATCAAATTGTTTGTACTCAATTTTTGATTTTTGGGAACATGCTCAGATATGTTGACTTTTCTTTCAAGAATCATTCTCTTAACTTATGTCACACTTATGTCGCAAGAATGTTCAAAATGATCTTTGTCAAAAGATCAAATGGTTTCTGTCCTAAACTAAAATTAAATTATTGTCTGTAGAAGATATCTACTGTATACAACTCTCGTTATTTTGTTGCTTAACGCATGCTGTTTATAAACAAATTTCATAAATGAATTTGAAAACCGTTTAACCGTTTATCAAGAAGTTGGTGAAGATCACGTTAAGCAGTTAATTAAACATTTTTTTTAACTGGAATAAATTATAAAAGCTTTTCATTGAATTTATTGACTATTAATAGCCCGATTTGAAAAATTATTTTACCGTTGTGTAAAGGATAAAAAGACCTCTAAAATTACACCCAATACCATTTAAAATCTTTTATTTTACCTTTTTTACTTGCCATTGGATCAGTGCGACGTAGGTTATAAGATTGGTTTTCAAAAATAAAATTTGATATGTTCCAACATTTTATTGCCAGAATAAAAGATAAAATATAAATAATTCTATTCTGTACCTTACACTTATCTACTCTGTGTGTATATTCATTATTTTCGTCATTTTTGAGATATTAGTAACTGTGGAAATCTTAGATTTGTACTAAATATCTGTTTCCTTTAACACGTGGTTTGCGAAAATCTTCAAAACAAGAAGTTTTTATCTTATTGGAACACTATAATATCATTAAAACCCTATATCGTTAAAATATACCTATATCATAAAGCAAATAGAGTTTTTCCTTCCTTTTAGGGTCGGGAGTTAAATTAAAAAGGTTGCCCCTTCTGTCTTTAACATTAACCGCATTTGTATAATAAGAAAACCAGGTATGTGAGAATAGATATCAGAATATGTTCTTGTGAGTTTTTAAATTTTATAGTTTTCACCACAAAAAAAATTTCAAAAGATTAATTTAATTTCACTAGTACCGCGCTTGAAGAAAATCAGAGGAACTAGACGGCAACGCTACTCAGCTTCGACGATGCGACAATCAATAATACTGAGACGCCCAGTGCCAGAGAGCGCACGCCAAAAGCTTATTCGGTGGCGGCCATTCTTAGTCCTCTTCGATCTATTTGCTACTCGTGGCTGGCACACACTGTTCGTAACGAAGCATGCACCTGTTGACGAATTTGCTTTACAGAGGCTTGATCTCAAAGCTAACCTCAAAATACTATTGTACTTGCTGGTAGTTGCGCGTTGGCGTGGCGCTGGGGTGATCTTACTTGAAAAAATTAAGACCAAAAACATCGACTTAAAACTGAATATCGGAGTAAGTTTTTTTGTACCCTTATAGGATGTATTGCTTTTACAGTAGGTCCTAAAAGGACAAAGACTTCATTTGTAGTAATGATTTCAATAAGCTGAGCTGAGTACTTTTAGTGTAAAGGTACCTAGTCCATCAATTTCACGTATGGCGAAAAAGTTACTAAATGCCTGAGTTTTTCCCCACACTTGGCAAGTCTATGACTTTTGATCTAAGATGTCACTAATTAATAAGTCACGCTATTAACCATCGCCATAGGCGAAAACAATGAGACTGTCATTATGCCGTGTTTAATTTGGACGCTTTCAAGATAGAGGGTTATAAGTTAAAACAATTTTAATTAACTCCCCTGCTTCCAACATAACTGAGTGGACATTTTACACACGTCTGTAAC